CCGGGAACACCCCACAAGAACTGCAGTTTTGGAGATACTCTTGTTGAAGTCGCTCAAATCCTCACACTGCCCATTTTTCCTGCTTCTAACACATCAACTTTGAGAACAAAATGTTCACTTGCTGCCTGATATATCCCAACTAACTGGCATGTGCCATGACAACCAGATAATCAGTGTTATTGACTTCACCTGTCTGTGGTCATAATTTTATGGCTAATCGGTGAGCTTCTGCTCAGGTTGAATGTGGGTGAGGCTATCCCGGGATTTAGAGCCAGACTAATAACAATAAGATATTATAGACTCTTTTTACAGCAAAAGCACTAGTATTACTAATAACATTAATTGGCTCTGTTCTATTCAAGTGTGCACAATACAAGGACCCTGAAACTGAAGCAGATACATGGAATTCAGAAATCATTCATTTTATTATTTACATGTGTGCTTTCCCTGCTCTAACATTTTAAAATGTCTTCTGTGAAAAAAGGCCTATTATTTCTTTTCAGATGCAACAAATCAATCAAACACAGTCTGCACTTTCCTGAACACTAAGAAAATGTTTAGTCTGTCAAAAATAAGTAAAAACACCTGTGTAGATGTACCATGGGTGTGCAGGGCCTTTACATCCACAACACCGAAACCCTAGCACTGAGGATCCTAACAACCCATAACGCTGTGATGTGGTTCCCAGTGGCATTTTAAATATATTAGAAATGCAAAGTGTGTTAAAACCTGGCTAGACAACAGGGGGACATATTTATGTTTTGTCTTGATGCAAGATGTACAGCACAGATCTCACATTCTCAACTGTACATAAATACATATATATGACAGAGGTTATTACCAACTCCAATACAGTAAAATAATCCGTAGATTTTTGTCTTGAGAAATACACAACCATGACATGCTTTAAAAAAGCAGTATGTAGCAGAAAATCCCCTATTAAACAAGTATCAATTAATCTGTTTATTAACTTCTTGATTAACTGTTTGGCTTATAAAGTCTTCAGAGGCCATGGGGATGTCTTCATAATAGCTTTTCTGAGGAAACATATTTAGTTCACTATCATATAACAGAAAGAAAAGCTGGAAACCTTCACAATTGTTTCCTCCAGCAGCAACATAGCCTACTGGTTATGACAAAAAAAAAAATAAAAAAATAAAAAATAACAGTCAAGACCTTTTCCCCCAAAACACTTTAATTGTAGATGGTCACAAAAATGGTCTCAAGTAGGACAGAACAGCATTTGGTGAAATCATATTGAATAAATAAATGTAACTCAGTCCCACAGGGTTGATCACGCGTAAACGTGCTGTGTACTGTATATGCAAGCTACATTCACCGTCCTTTACATGCACCTAACACAGTCTTAGAAAACTTAAAATATATCAGGAGAAACCAAAGGTGCTAATAAAACATGACATATAAACAGCACAAGCAAAGAGGTGGCCTTAAAGTGGTGGAACCGTTTCCCTTTTAAAAACACATTTGGACTCATACACTTCAGTCTCACTGGACATGATCACATTGTCTTGATACAACCTGAAAGAATCAAATCACATTTGAGAGGCACTAACAAAACAGAGCTTAAAAGCAACTCACTTCAGCTGTGCTGAGCCTCTAGATTGCCCTATCACACCATTTGAGCTCATAACTCAAAGTAAAGAAAAAAAAAAACTAAGAAAACAGAGAATGCACGCCTTTTGAGTGAGGAGTTGCACCACATTATCAGTGTATCAAGTCACTGTTCAAACATCTAACAGTTCCTTCAGAATACATGCAAATGGACATCCCAAATTAAGTTACACGAATGAAGTACAACTGATAAGTTGTAGCAAAACAATGGTAAAACACAACTAAACAAGGAAGAAAGAGAAGGAAGGTCAGGGTAGAGCAGGGTGAAACGAGAGGGGATGATAAAACTCAAAGTCATTGTGCCTGTTAAGTTGTGTTCAGACTGAACACAGGGAATTTTCATCTTCATTTATTTTGCTGGAGTGTTTTGGAGTCCATGCTCGTTAACCAAAAACACCCAATTACAGCACAGACATTGCATTTAGTCAGTCATCTGTAGCTCTCTAATAATAGGCATTAAATATATTGTCTGATGTAAGTATGAACATTCCACACACACTCAAGGCAGCCTGTGCCTATTATTAGCGAGCTACAGCTGACTGACTACAGCTAACATCTGTGCTGTAATTGGCTGTTTTTGGTTAACAAGTAGGGACTGCCAGTGGTGTGTGCAATTTGCCTGTGTACATATGTACTACTCAGACTCAGTTTACATGGCAGAAACATTATTTTGTTACATTTATCTGGATCCACTCTTTTTTTGTATTATTTTAAAAGCTACAATAACAATGCCTTTATTCAAACTTTGTGTTGCTTTTAATTTTCATGTCACGTTCAGTCTGAACACACCTTCAAGGCCACAGCAGAAATAGGAGTATTAACATTCTAGCTGCTGGGGCTTCAAGCAGAGGAAACTGGAGGTCTTTACTTCTTCCACACGGTGTAGAAAACCCATCTGACACAGTACAATTAAGGAGTGTACACAAAAAAAATGAGACAGCCTGCAAATAGATAACAGTATGTTTTTGTTTTTTTTAGCGTATGATGATAAAAAAGGATACAGCTCCAAGTAGGAGGGTACACACACCACCTCTTTGGAGAAGTCCACGGGACATGAGAGCTTTCCCAGCTGTTCCTCATACAGACTCAGTGCATCTGTCAGATTCACGCTGTTTCCCTAATGAAAAGTGACAGGAAAAAACAAATGTCAGGAGACACGCATATTAATTTAGCTAATGATTTTTTTCCTCCAGCCATAACCGGAGAAGTGGAACTTCTGCCCATGTTAGCTGATTTCCCACACCATAAAACATTTCTGTTTGACAATTTGAAACTAAATTTAAATATTAAAATATTGATCGTAAGGCTTCTATATAAGAACTACTTCAACTCTCCCATCATATAACACTGCCATTATCTCCTTCTTTGCCATATCTCCTGGCCAAATGTGTTTCAACAGAAAATACATATAATAAAGGAAGCAAGATACTGTAGTTATGCAGTTTTAAGGTTTTAAAGATTAGTCTGAGGGTAAGTTTGTTTCTTCTTAGTTATTCATAGGAGGTGGGGAGGAAAAGTTAAAAGCATCTCTGTCTGACCTTGGATCACCTCAGTTCATCAAACAAATATTTATGTATTAACAATGCTAATATTAACAGTTTGCATTTCCCAAACTCAGTATTTACTAAAAGGACTTACCTGTGTGAAATACTTCCCAGAGGGATGCAGGACTTTTATTGACAGATCTAAGATGAGACGCAGGAACTCCCATGTCGAGTCTACAACAAGCAGTTCGACAGGTTCAGACATACGTTGAACAATGACATCTCTGTACTGCATTAATGTATGTATGTGTAAGAAAAATACAGAAACCTTCTTCTGGCTCTGTGGATATTGGGACTGCAGTGAGGTCATTAATTACGTAATCAAACGTCCTTCCTTCCTGGACATACTTCTTCAGCACGGGGACACAGTCCTCAACTAGTATCTGTAATGAGACAAGGAGAGTCCAATCAACTTTCCTGCCAGTAACCAGCTTTGTGAAACTGGTTATTCAGGATCACAACATTAGTAAGTAAAATATAAATAATTATTCAGCACTCACTTGGTAACAGTCTCCCTTCAGGTTGTCGAGGATATTGCCGCAGGTTTCTCTCATGTGCGTTTTACACCCATCTATCACCTTCTGGTCAATGTACGCACTCTGTTAAGGTGTGATCAATGCAGGTGCAGACGTACAATTATACACATTTGTAAAACGCTGTGAGAGAAAACTATATAGACTGGGAATTTTAAAAAAAAAAGGTGCAGCAAAACAGAATTCATAAAGGATATCTCCAACATGGTGATCATCTTTGGCTTTTGTTTGACCACCTCAGCAAGGATGCCTCCATCACCTCCTCCTAATATCAGCACCTCTTTTCCAGCATAATTTTCTTTTCCGCTACCAATGATGGCTTGCGTGTAGGCAAAATCACTCTCTGCCAGGTCTGAAAGGCAAATGAATCATTCACACACTAAACTAATTAATAGATATTATAAATAATACAAACTAATACAATAATCACCATTGAATTTATTGAGTTTTATCTGTTACATTGCATTACCTTTATGTACACTTTCTATATTTACCATCAACAAAGAAAATTGAAAAACATGCCATGTACTTTAGTGTTGTATACACTTACTAATGTCTCCATTGAGCACTAGGATATTTCCAAACTGCTGTGAGTGCAAAATTTTTATGTTTTGGTATGCAGAATCTTCTTCATACACCACCCGGTCAATGTCATACTCAATCAGTCTGCCGTCAGCTGTGGGCCAGTAGCGATCAACTTTTGCTCCTCGTACGAGTGCTGGGAGCCTCGGGGTGAATGATGGACAACAAAATTAATCAATATTACTGCAAAACGCAAGCTGCATGAAATATGCTGATCACTTTTCGACAACATGACCCTCCAGATACGTACCTTTTAATCCTTGTAATATTGCCATTTAAGAGAACCTTAAGCTTCTTTTCCAGTGCATTTAAAAGCTGTGAAGAAAAAACTGAGTATGAGTTACCAAAAAAAGGGCAGAACAATCTCCATCAATTAGTGGGATACGTTAAAGTGCTAAATAGGTGGCTGAACTATTTACAAATGTAAGTGGAGAGTTGTGTAACTGTATCTTAAAGATTTGTAAATGTGTAAAAGGATCTCTAAATACGTACAGAGATTTGTCAATGTGGACAGGAATCGACAAATGTGTGTTCAGAATCCACTTGTGTATCAGTGGTTTTTGTAGGTTAAAAAAATGCAACAAACATCTCTCCACACATACAAATCTGAATACATTTGCAAATCTCCTACACACATACAGATACAGTTATAATTACACACGCACATTTGTAAAAATAGTATTGCTATAATAATGGCCCCATAGGCAGCACTCAAATGCCAAAACACATAGGCACAGTGAACAGTGCAGCAGTCATATTATTTCACTCAGCTCTACTAGTGCTCCACAGCAATTAGGGGCACAGTTGTATTTGTAGAGGTGTGCAAAATGTGCTGTGTACAGGAAAGTGTGTGTGTTTGGGCACTGGAAGCAAGTGGAGAACATGCACACTGGCCCTCATCTCATGTGTCCGTCACAAAAGTTATTGAAGAAGGAAAAGATCAAACTATCATCATGTCCTTGCAATATTTTTTGGCACAGATCTTTATGTGGTGGTTTACAGCGTGTTTAACTGAAAACTAAATGTGTGATAAAGAAAAAGTTTACAACCCCCTGACAAACATAAAAGTTAGCAACACCACATGACGTGCTACACTGTGGGACTTCCTGTGTGTTTTGTTTTTTAGGTAATGGATAAAATATTGTGTATTGTTTATGCATAACCTACATTGTCTAGTTGTGCAATGTTATCCTCTTCATAACATTGCAGATCAATGGTGACCAACCCATGGGAGTGCACGCGCAGAATAGCAAACCTGAGAAAAGAAGTGGTGGAGATAAAGGGATGGACACAAAGCAATAAACTGAGTAAAACATTTTATGCTAAGAAATTGATACTCCACTCAAAATGTATACTTTCAAAACCTTGCAGCCCGCCTTGAAAGGTGGCTATAAAAAGGTAAGTTGTTCCCTCTTTTACAAAGAACTTTGAATGGTGACACGTTTTTTAAAGTGTAAAGCATCGGTACATCCTCTACCCAACTGTCCACACAGCATGCGTGAGCAGTGTGTGACGACTGCCTTGCTGAACTGCTGCGACTCACACGTCTGTGGTTACCCCACAGAGAGCATTTCTGCTGCTGTGCTGCCAGACCGGTCTTTCTAGATCCACTTTGATAAATACATTGCAAAAAAGCCTTGTTAACAAATGAATGGAATCTGTCCACAGAAACACCAGAGAGAGCTTTTGATCTCAAACAAGTGTTGAGTGAAAAAAAAAAAAAAAAATCATTTTAAATGTCTTTTTATTTTAAAATAAGAAAATGTTTGCACGATGCACACGTGCTGCAGACGGTCCCGGCCTTTCGACACTAAATTTAACTAAACAACAGAAACCGATAGAGAGAGATACTAGTTCATCTCTACATGCATCAGAGTCTGTGTCTGTGTCATATCGTATGTATTAAGTGTGCTGTTTCATAGTCGGGGGTGTATTGTAACTGTCTCAATTTCTTTCTTAATTAATATATATAATTTTTTTATGCAGGCTTCCTTGATGAAATACCCACAAAATGACAAGCTCCGATTCATGAATCCAATTCAACATCAACGGTTTTGTGTGGTCAGGGCAAGCTACTTTGTTGCTATAATGAGGAAAAAAATATGTGAAGCCCAACAACAAATTCTGGAGAAACTTACTACACATCAGATTATGGTAACTATTTTCCAGTTTGAATGGGCCTGATATATTGTGAGACTTAAAGCTGCAGCCAGAGCCTATAGGCTTATGTTTACATTGTATAGACAAGACTAATTTTATAATATTGTAAGGATAATATGGGACTAATTACCAGGCAGCAGAACAAAATCTCAGTTTTTATTATTACAATGTTAATGTTAATCACTTTATATTCTATAGAAAATATTTTATTGAATAAACATTGTTTGTTAATATCTCATTGTATTCTGTATTGATCTACTAATTCTTAGACTGACAGATGTAAGCAGATGTTAAAGGAGGAAGAATTGTATTGAGTGTTCACATGGTTTACGGGGTCAGGTATTTTGCTTAGGGCTGGATGTTTCTGAAAATCCCTGCACTGAAAGGCAGAAGAAATTTTGTTTGTCAAAAAAAAAAAAAAAAAAAGAAATGTGGCAAGTGAAGTTGTTCTTACCGGCCATTTTTCCCTACGAGAGTAGCAAGGTATCCATGCCCATTTGTGTCATGGACAGTCTCTGTCATTTCCTGCTCATGAAATATGGACAGTAGACCAGGAACTGTCGAAGAAGAGTCAACTGAGAAAAAGAGAGGATGGAACAACTGCATCAGTTATGAAAGAAGAACTCAGACCATGTACTGAAATAGAAACACAATGTAAAATGTGCCCTATGACAAGTAAAGGTCCATTCAAAGTAACACTTAAAGTGCTTAAGTATTTAAGTAAAAGTACTCATTAATACAGGTTGAAAGGTCCCTGGCAGTGTCATATCAGTATATTTTATACAGCTGGATTATCACTAAATAATTACAGATGGATTAACATGTAAGCACTATTTTAATGTTGTAGCTGGTTGTGGCTGAAACACTTAATTATTATATTTACAGTCTGGTAGTTTAATGTATTGTTAAACGAAGCAATGTATGTTATATGGTCATCATTAATGCATTTTAAAATCTTAATCTGCAACGCAATAACTCATTTTAGCAGTCTTAGACCAAAACGCACAACATTTCTCTCAAAATGTAGTCAACTACTGTACAAATACAGAGGAGGAAAAAATGGAAATATCCAAATACCTCACTTAAGCACAGTATGTGAACAAATTAACTTTTACTTACTGTGCAATAAAAATAATGTGTATTTTATGACACAACATTCTTGCCAGATAAGTATAATTTCAAAGATCCTCAGAGTCCTGATATTTACATTCAAAGACGCCTTATATTTCTACCCCACAACATTTATTTAACAACTTTATTTATTAAGATTTTACAAAGCACGTGATCATCATATAAAAAATGTTAGATTAAACTACCAAACAGTATATAAAAACAGAACTGGCAAAACCTCCTTGAGCTACAGTAAAATGCTAATTTACATCCTAATAAATCAGTAATACCATATCAATAATACACAATCAGTATTAATGTTTCTGCATTATGAGTTCTTTCACTTTTAATACATTAACTACATCTTGCTATTAATAACTACTTTTATTTCATAAATATATCAAGGCATCACGGAAGCGCATTGCATTCACTGGATTAAAAAAAAAAAAATTGACACCATA